TACTTGAAAGTTCTAATCAAGAATCAAGAAAAAAAAAAGGACTAGCAAAATAGCTTTTCAAAATAATAATTTATTTTGTTGACTTAGTTAATTTTTAATTACTTTTTTACTATCATTTCATAGTTTCTTTAACTTCAATTTGTTGTTTTTTTTCAATTATCTATTTTCTTGAACTAGTTTAGCATTACTCCTTATTATGAAAATATTTGAGTGGTGAAGGAAAAAAGAAAATATGAAACAAGAGAGGAAATATGCATATATTTGGTTGTTTTTTTGGAAGCAAAATATGTTCTACGGTGTAGAGTGAGCCTCAGCTGAAAAGTGATGAGATGCAGAAATATGCATCATATGTTTCTAAGTTCTAGTTTCATTGAAGTTTACGAGTTATATTTACTATAGTATTTAAGATTAATAGTGTATAAGATACACTCAAATCCTAGTTAGAGAAGGCTCAGATAAATTAGGTAGGTTTGGCAGGAATAAATCTGAAAATTACTTGCCTCGAACAAGAAGCCCACAAACAATTATATCACTGCTCTCTACACTATCATCAATTATCTTATCTAATATATCTTTCATCTTATTCCCCAGTTTTACTTTGTCATTCTATAAGTTCTTCTTCTCATGATATTTTGGGGACTTTACTTCCATGACCAGCATATGTTCTTTTTTGGCTTTTATCAGTGTAGAAATATTCATGTCCAGCACTCAGCTGTGGAGAGAGGAATCGAATTTATGCTTTTTGAGTAGACGCATCAAGTGCCTTTGTAGACCTGACAAATTTTATAAAAATCGATTAGCCAGAATTATTGCATCACAGGTAAGACAAAATAAATAGATAATACTCATCAACTAGGAACCAAAAGGTTATCTACAAAAAAAGGTAACAACACAGGTGCCAATGCTTTATGAACAAATGTATCTTCGATAAGGTTGCATAGCACCCATAATGATAGATGCTGAAGTCTATAAAAATATAAGTATAGCAAGTAGCAATGATTTTCATGACAAATTGAACTGATAAGTAAATAATAATTTAATTTATATTGATTTATAGAATTCAAGAATACAATCCTCTTTCTCAGTTTCTTACCATTTTTGCTATTGCAAGAGCACTGTTTTGTAGTCCTTAAAACTTTTACTTATAGTCTAATTAGATAAAATGATATCCTTTTAGTTTAAATAGATTGTTAAAAAAAATAAGAAAATGAGGAAACTTGTCTTCATCATCATGTAACATCTTACAATATCTTGATCAGAAAGAAGGGAGAAAACAAATTCAGCACTAATATTATCTATTATTGTTGCCCATAGCTCCCTGTCAAAGCCCTCTCTAATTCCAGTTTTACTATATTCAAACAAAAATATGTTGTTTATGCAGATAACAATAGAAAAGATAAGTTAACATATTTCTATATTAAATGACTAACAAGGAATTTAGATCTGAATACTTACAGGATTTCCACTGAATTATTCATACTATTGCACTTTGCCTTTGCCAAGTAGGTTTGACGATATTCTATAAGTATTAATGAAATATTCGTGATATCGATAATTCACTATGTAATGTAGCAGTTAAAAATTAGAATTTTCAGAAAATTCAGCCTAAAATGAAATATTCACACATTACTTAGCTTGCATCTATCGGTATTATCTATTCCTCTCTACCTAAGCCAACTAGCTATTCTTGCTAAAATTTAACACATTCTTCAGTACTATCTGAATCGATTGAATCAGACTTAGGAGAATAAGTAAAATCTGAGGAGTCATCACTATTCTGGATACTTGATGATGCTTTGGCAGAAGAGCACTTAATATTTATAATCTTTCGTAGGTCTTTTTTTTTTTTTTAAAAAAAAAAGAGATAAACATATCACGCTTTATCCTCTTCTGTTCCTGATTAACCTCCACAGAGTCCTAAAGTGATTTTATCAGAATTATTAAATTTGAATTAATAGTGCATATACCTTACTATAAGGAATTGAAATGCACTAACTTCAGACTTTGGATTATTAGCATTCAAAAAGAGTAAATATTAGTTTATAGAGAATAGCACTAGATTGTGTAATTACAACAATAATACAAACTCATTTTTTGACTTTTTTTGACTTGAAGAGGCTTTTGAGAACTTCTTCTTGGTATTTTTTAGCTACTTCTGCACTTTTTTTGAGATAGCCATTCTCTAACTCTAGCATATCACAGGTACTAGCCAACTGAAAGATAGGTAGTAAATTAAAATACAAATATTTGAATAAGTCAGTAGGTAACAACCTCTAGCATTCTGATCTGTGCTAGTTCAGCCTCTTCATTTCAAAATGCATTGACAGCATCTGATAGCATCTTAATCTTGATTAAAAAAAAAAAGATATCTAGTTAATCATAAAGCAAAACAAATAGAGAAAGAAAGGTAGATAGATGAAGAAAAGATAAAGGAGTGGATAAACACAACACTCACTCTTAGTCTTCTGGAAATTTAGGACCTAAGATACAGATATTGAGCTATGGAAGCCTCTCAGAAGAGAAACACAAGTGTTCATACTATTCAAATTAGGATGTATGCTTATCAACGGAGTCACAACTGTTCTCATTGCAAGTCACAACTCACAACAATAGTCAACAATGTATCATTCACCAGTATAGAGCCACAAATACAATACTCACTCTTAGTCTTCTGGAAATCTAGGACCTAAGCCAGAGCTAGAGTGCAGATATTGAGCTGTGGAAGCTAGAGATAGGTTCAGTCATAAACAGTCATAATTATTAATAGCCAATTTTCTAATTACTAAAAGGATTTTTTACTTTTGAGCTTTTAATTAAAGTTGTTCAAAATTAAATTCTGATCATTCTATCTTATAAGTGTAAAGAATAATACCTTTACTGGAACTCAGAATTTCAAAAGATGTTAATACCATAACTGGTTATTAACTGACAGTTAATAACCAGTTATAATAGTACAAAATTTGAAATTTTGAGTTCCAGTGAAAGTATCATTCTTTACACTTATAAGATAGGATGATCAGAATTTAATTCTGAACAACTTTAATTAAAAACTCAAAATTAAAAAATTCTTTCAGTAATTAGAAAATTGGCTATGAATAATTATGACCATTCGTGACTGAACAAATCTCTAGTAGAAGACTCCCAGAAGAAAAACACAAGTGTTCATACTATTCAAATTGGGATGTATACTCATCAACAGAGTCGTAACCATTCCCATTGCAAGTTACAACCTATAACAGTAATCGACAATATATCTTGACTTTGCCTTTTTCTCTTTCTAAACAAAAAATTATTCACTTCAGAAATGTTAACTGCTTTTGATATGCAGAATTTGCTAAATTCATAGTGTTCATTGATAGTTTTGAGGTCCTCAATATAGTTTCAGTGCTTGTTAACTTTCTTCAATGATACATCGAGACACATCTTCCTACGGTACCTCAGAAAAGACTCGAGACTTGGTTTACTTGTATTTGCCTAATAATCTGTAACAAAAGAAGTCAGTGATGACTAAATTCTAGTAATTAAATACTTAGAGGTATATAATCACCAGGAAAATGCAATTTTATAAGGCAGTCTTTCGCAAGCTGCATTTAAGACAATCTGAAGAGAATGACAGATCCTTAAGCCAACCAAAATTTGAGATGAGATATAGTTTCGAATCCAAATCCTAGTTATATTCAGCACGGTGGAAGCAATCTTGATAAACCCAGCTATTAAAAACTAGGCCAAATGGGCCTCGATCTATTTACAAGCAAAAGAACCCACTACCTCAAGTATGAAGAAACTTGGACGAAGGCCAGAGCTGCTCCGGAGTATGCTACTCCATTGACAACCTTTATTGACAACCCTACCAATAGAACTGTCGTAAAAGTTTGCATTTTTGATAGATCTACGATGTACTCAAAATTTGTTTACGTTCTTGCACTTTTAGTAAAATATTTTTGTACTTTGAGCGAATATATCTCAATAACTACTTGACCAAATTCAAAATTTTTTTTTTTGTTTTAATTCTATTGATGTATGGAATTCAAATAAAAAAAAATTCATCGATTTTAATCGGGCGGTTGTTGAGATATCTTCACTCAAAGTTAGTAAACAAATTCAAAACGTCTATTAATTAAGTGCGCAAATTTTTTCTAAAACTTTGAGCGAAGATGTCTCAATAACTACTCGACCAAATTCGATGATTTTTTTTTTTTTTGTTTTAATTCTACAAATATATAGAATTCAAATAAAAAAAAATTCATCGATTTTGGTCAGGCGGTTGTTGAGATATCTTCGCTCAAAGTTATTAAACAAATTCAAAATATCAATTCGTGTAAAATTTTTTATAAAACTTTGAGCGAGAATATCTCAACAACTGCCTGACCAAAATCGATGAATTTTTTTATTATTTGAATTCTATATATTTGTAGAATTAAAACAAAAAAAAATTAATCGAATTTGGTCGAGTAGTTATTGAGATACCTTCGCTCAAAGTTTTAGAAAAAATTTGGCGCACTTATTTTAATAGACGTTTTGAATTTGTTTACTAACTTTGAGTGAAGATATCTCAACAACCGCCCGATCAAAATCGATGAATTTTTTTTTATTTGAATTCCATATATCCATAGAATTAAAACAAAAATTTTTTTTTGAATTTGGTCAAGTAGTTATTGATATATATTCGCAGATCTATCAAAAATGAAACTTTTGCCTGTCCGTAGATTTCGCGATTTTTTAGAGTTCGGATCACGTTACTCCAAATCCTGCATTCTAATTGGATATCGATATAAATCGATAATTTTGACCATATCTGATATCGATAAATATTTTTGCCAAAACAAATCGATAATTTTCCGGGTCCCTGGCTACCATGTTCTTACCTGCCTAAACCCGCCTTATTCAGGTGGGTGGGAGGGATTAACGAAGAGCTAGACTTGCTTCGAGCTTGCAGCAAAGAAAAAAAGTACGTAACATTTCTCTAACTACTTGGATACGCACAACCAAAAACTCATTCGAGTTACGTCAGTGATCGGGATACTGATCTCGTTACAAATGACTGCCCCGTGACTTCGTTCACGGCATTTCATTTTGGGAATTATTTTAATAGGGTTTAGTTTTGCCCATTATTTTATTTTCATGAATGTAATTGGAGTAACTCCAGGTAATTTACCAAAAATTTCATGTTTTTCATTCTTGTTTCACTTAATTCACCTTTATTTATCAATCATCCGACGTTTACAAAAGGACAACTCTATACAGTAATATATTTACATATCTCATCAGCTCCATACTTTGTAATCTTTTCTACGCGATTGCCAGGCCATTTTTGGAAAGTTCTCCCTTCTCCGATTTTTGTTCTTTCAATATTGGGGACTCAAGTTTTTGCGGCGATTATATCTGTTATTTATTAATTCGAATGCTACTTATTTTTTTATATTTATAGATATGTATATTAATAATTTTATGTTTGCATTTTCATTTATCTGCTAAATAGATCTCTTTAGGAATCTTCGTAAAATACTCGACTTTGTTAAAGTTATTGTATTCCATTATTGGTCATTTGAATTGACAGCTAAACTTTTACCATTAAAAGCAAGACGTACGAAGTTAACTGCGCGTCGTGAACGAGCTTTGGCGATTAAAGGAATTAATGATAACTTTAGAAAAATGAGAAAAGTTTTATTATTGACAAGAGTTATTCGTACATTTATACAAAGGGATAGTAAGGATGAAGATTTTTCTGAGAAATAACAACGTTAATTGGATAGTTGTTTACTATCACTATTATTAGAATATTATATACAGAATTTGATGGCGTTAGTTTAAACAGTTCGTTTCTCAAGATGATTTCTTATTAAGTCATTAATTTTATAATTTATATATGTATCACATTAATTTTTTGTAAATATGATATTAATAATACAACTATCCAGAGGATTAAATAAACTCTTATTTATGGATTTATCCCTTAAACCGTAGATTTTAGCGGGCAAATTTGCCCGCTAAAAATAGATAAAAAAATTTTTTTACTATCGATAATAATAAATAAAAAATATATATATGGTTTTTTTTTTCAATCATATATGAAGCTGCACTCTTTTGCTATCATTTTATAATAAATGCTGTTGACGCTGAAATTTAGAAATTTCTATTTGAATGTATAAACTCTAATGAGTTTCTTTATTTAAATATATAACTTATATTAACAATTACCCTCAAAGTTTTTTTAACATAAGTTCAAGTTCCCATATCTTTCATAACAATAAATGTTTAAAATTATCATGCAATTTATCTAATAGGAAGCATTTTAGACAAATTCCAATCTATAGATACGGAAGTAAATTTTACAAATCAGTGAATGCTTCCCATAACTTTAAAAGATTTCCGATAACCTGAAGTTTGTGGGATTTCCGGCTTACTCAAAGTTTACAGAAAGGCGTTGCAATTACAATGGCTCGACTAATTTTTGCACCCTATAGCTATGAATAAATTAGAATCACTTGTGGCAGATAATCAGAATGTATTTTACTAATAATTACAGATAATCAACAATGAAGGCAATTATAAAAAGTTAGTCTTATCGTATCACTCTCGAAAATATTAATAAATTAGTAAAAACCACATGATATAGTTCATTTTGTTGCTATGAAAATTTTGAAATCGAATCCGGCTGTTTTAAAAGAAAAGATTTGCTAGTTTATATATATTTATGTTCAATATTCTACTACCCACCTGTTATGTAAAATGTGATAGTAGTTTGTTTCCTGTTTTCGTGGCATTTCGTAACATATACTGGTAATCCCCCCAAAAAAGAATTATTTTTTTAATATTTTCTTATAAGCTAGAATTGTTTGCGTTAAACTGTTCGAATTTAACTATATAAAAATCAAACTATTTAATTTTCTAATTCGGTCAAATGGGTTAAAATTTCAAATTATATTAACAATATTAATTAATTCCATTATAACAATATCGATAATAGGTCTCATAATACTTGAATATATACAAACTTTTTTATTATTTATTTAAAATATATCATCGATAAATAGTTAATTTTATAAATCATTTACATAATCAAAATTTCGAACTACTTTTTATTCAATGAAAAAACTTTGATTAAAAATCTTTATTACTCGAATAAACTTTAAAAATTTACATAGTATACAAAAATCGTATAAATATAATCTTCGAGATCGAAATTTTTTAATAGTTACCAATAAGTTGAAGAACGGAAGTAAACCTTTAACCCAGTATAAAAAAAAAAAGTAGGTAAGTAATTGAAATGACCTATAATACCCCAGAATAAGGCATGTCAACAGTCAATAGCGGGGGAATATCCAAACGAAGAATATCTCAACATTCTTGAATATGGATTCTTCACCCCCTCAGTGACCACGTGTATTCACTGAGTGCTGCTACCGACGAACGTAACCTAGAAGCCTAGGAGCGATACCTGAGGATTTTTGTTATTATAATAACGTGAGATCAATCACTTATGAATAAAAATAATACTCATCTGTTAAATAAAAAAGCACTAAATCCAATCATCTGTAAATTCATTACTTATAAAAATCAACTATGTGTTGCATCACCATCGTCGCGTTATGTTATATTAATATCGGGTAAGATACGTTAAAGGCGAGCTTTTCTTCTAAGTTATAAAAAAAAAAGTTATAACAATACTACAAAATAAGAATAATAATTTCAATTTCAATTTTTTAATAATATACTTTTCCTTATAACTCCGGTGTAGACGAAGAACAAAATATTCACGTTAGTGTTGTTAAAAAAAGAAAAAATCAAGTGTTTTTAAAAATAAAATAAACATTTTATTATCACTATTAAGCGGCACTTTTTTATTATAAATAAAATATAAAGGTAGAAAATAAAAAATTGGGAACACCTACAGCAAAAAGGGGGATGGGACTATATAATATATAGTCCCGTTCCCCCTTTTTGCTGTGGGCGTTCCCAAATATAAATCTGTGATGTAAAAAATTTTTAACGATAAAATTGATAAAATTGATTCTTGAACCCGTTTTAACAGCACTATTTTGGTATAACACAACGAAACAAATTCGAAGATGGAAATTTTACATGCATGTATGATCAGATATCAATCACACGATTTGTCAATATAGGATAACTTTCTCGTGATTGGTTGATCACATGAAATTGAATAATATATAGTTACTAAAAATAGGGGTCGATTAAAGCCATGTACCCACGTAACTTTTTTTGTGTCGATCGACCAACCAAAATTGTGAAAATTTTGTTTACACGGATTAGCCAGACAGACAAAGTAAAAAAGTTAAAAAACATTAAAAATACCAAAACAGTAGTCTAAACCTGTCTTAGGGTATTAATAAAAAATGTCGGGAAGGCAATTTTACTATATATAAATTCTACCTCTAACCCTAACCCTACTTTTAATTAAATGGCAAAAGTCACGTGGGTACATGGCTTTAATCGACCTCTAAAAATAGAAACAGACGAATTAGATGAAATGAGTACGTAAACGTAGCGGGCGGTAGTGTTGCATATTAAGATTTTTTATAATAAATTTTTTTAGATCTTCACTACATATTAAACGATTATAAAAAAATAAACTATAAACTTTAATTTCTCTCGTAATATCTAACATTTTTTAATTTAAGCGGTAATAATAATGAAATTTCAACATTGTTAAATTACTCGATTGTCGAATGTCAATGTGTTGAACTTACATGTATCAAATAGGTAGAACAGAGAATACAACCAAGCAATTACTTATATCAATTAAGTAAAACTAAGCCCAGTGATATGCATATCGAACAAGTAGAACAAAGCCTATCTCGTACAATGTTCGTAGATCAAATCATAAATAGCCACATTAGAAACATCTATGTAATATAGATTTATCGCGGTTTGCAAATTGATCAGTTTTGCAAATTATGCTTAACATTAAAATCATCCAATTAACAACTATTTTAGCATAAATTAAATCTAGAAATCGAAGATTCATGAATTATTAATTCTGTATTAAACATTTGAATAAGAAATCTCAAAATCGTGGAACATTTTGCAAACCGCGTGATAAGTAAAACTTTTAAAATTAATTATATATTACTTTGAATTTAAGTTAATTCTGTATCATTCCCGGGTTTTGCGCAACCTTATTGCGTACTACCTTATTGACTAATTATCCGGAATTAAAGTACTTACCGTTACATTTCGAACACTTAGAACCAAGCCCATTTCAGTAAACTCATGTTCAAATTTACTTGATTTCGTACAAAATAACGATAAAGCCACTCAATTTAGAAATTTTTAAGGAGATCATCTGGGCATAATGGAATTCAGGGCGTACACTTATTTGCGCCGGTGATAAGGAAATTTTCGTATGTAGATCGTAAGATCAGGTAACGTTTGTGTAACATAACATCGAAGACTTTTTCAATAAATCGCCCGTAACTTTAAATTTTGACTAGGAAACCATCTTTGGCGTACTAATTAAAAAAATTCCTTGCTAAATTTTGCATATATACGACTTTGCTAAAATCCTAGGCCTCGTCCTAACCCTAAAGTTCTAAATTCTACGTTTTATTAGTAAATAAAAATACAAATATTTGAATAAGGCAGTAGATAACAACCTCCAGCATTCTGATCTGCGCTAGTTCAGCCTCTTTATTCCAAAATGCATTGACAGCATCTGATAGCATCTCAATCTTGATTAAAAAAAAAAGATATCTGGTTAATCATAAAGCAAAACAAATAGAGAAAGAAAAGTAAATAGATGAAGGAGAGATGAAGGAGTAGATAAACACAACCCTCACTCTTAGTCCTCTAGAAATCTAGGACCTAAGGTGTAGATATTAAGCTGTGAAAGCCCCTCAGAAGAGAAACACAAGTGTTCATACTACTCAAATTTGGATGTATGCTTATCAACGAAGTCACAACTGTTTCTATTGCAAGTTGCAACTTACAACAGTAGTCAACAATGTATCATCTACTAGTACAGAGCTACAAACACAACACTTGCTCTTAGTCTTCTGGAAATCTAGGATCTAAGCCAGAGCTAGAGTGCAGATATTAAGCTGTGGAAACTAGGGATGGGTTCAGTCACAAATAGTCATAATTATTCATAGCCAATTTTCTAATTACTGAAAGGATTTTTTACTTTTGAGCTTTTAATTAAAGTTGTTTAGAATTAAATTCTGATCATTCTATCTTATAAGTGTAATGAACAATACCTCCACTAGAACTTAAAATTTCAAATTTTGTACTATTATAACTGGTTATTAACTGTTAGTTAATAATCAGTCATAACATTAACATCTTTTGAAATTCTGAGTTCTAGTGAAAGTATCATTCTTTATACTTATAAGATTGGATGATCAGAATTTAATTCTAAACAACTTTAATTAAAAGCTCAAAAGTAAAAAATTCTTTCAGTAATTAGAAAATTAGCTATGAATAATTATGACTATTCGTGACCAAACTCATCCCTAGTGGAAGCTCTCCAGAAGAGAAACACAAGTGTTTATACTATTCAAATTGGGATGTATGCTCATTGACAGAGTCACAACTATTCTCATTACAAGTTACAACTCACAACAGTAGTTGGCAATGTATCTTGGCTTCACCTTCTTCTTTTTCTAAACAAAAAATTATTCACTTCAGAAATGTTAACCACTTTTGATATACAGAGTTTGCTAAATCCATAATGTTTATTGATAGTTTTGAAGTTCTCAATATAGTTTCAGTGCTCGTCATCTTTTTTCAATAATACATTGAGACACATCTTCCTACAGTACTTCAGAAAAGACTTAAGACTTGGTTTACTTATATTTGCCTAATAATCTGTAACAAAAGAAGTCAGTGATGATTAAATTTTTTTATTAAATACTTAGAGGTACATAATCACTAGAAAAATGCAATTTTATAAGGCAATCTTTCGCAAGCTACATTTAAGACAATCTGGAAGGAATAACAGATCCTTAAACCAACCAAAATTTGAGATGAGATATAGTTTCAAATCCAAATCCTGGTTATCTTTAGCACAGTGGAAGCTATCTTAATAAACCCAGCTATTAAAAACTAGACCAAATGAGCTTCAATCTATTTACAAGCAAAAGAACCCCCTACCTCAAGTATGAAGAACTCTGGAGTATGCTACTCTATTGACAACCTTTATTGACAACCCTACTCATAGCACTATCACAAAAGTTTGCATTTTTGATAGATCTATGATGTACTCGAAATTTGATTACGTTCTTGATGTACTTTTAGTAAAATATTTTTGAATTTTGAGCGAATATATCTCAATAACTACTTGACCAAATTCAAAAAAATTTTTTTTGTTTTAATTCTATAGATGTATGAAATTCAAATAAAAAAAAAATTCATCGATTTTAATCAGGCAGTTGTTGAGATATCTTCACTCAAAGTTAGTAAACAAATTTGAAACATCTATTAATTAAGTGCGCAAATTTTTTCTAAAACTTGAGCAAAGATTTCTCAATAACTACTTGACCAAATTCGATGATTTTTTTTTTGTTTTAATTCTACAAATATATAGAATTCAAATAAAAAAAATTCATCAATTTTGGTCAGGCAGTTGTTGAGATATCTTCACTCAAAGTTATTAAACAAATTCAAAATATTAATTCGTGCAAAATTTTTTATAAAACTTTGAGCGAGAATATCTCAACAACTGCCTGACCAAAATTAATGAATTTTTTTTTATTTGAATTCTATATATTTGTAGAATTAAACAAAAAAAAATTAATCGAATTTGGTCAAGTAGTTATTGAGATTCCTTCACTCAAAGTTTAGAAAAAATTTGGCGCACTTATTTTAATAGACGTTTTGAATTTGTTTACAAACTTTAAGTGAAGATATTTCAACAACTGCCTGATCAAAATCGATGAATTTTTTTTTATTTGAATTCCATATATTCATAGCTCTATAAGAAAAGTGTCTGGGAATTTTTTAGAAACTGCTACATATAATTAGGAATTAAATAAGAATGATTCGGAACAGCCTAAGAACTTAGTCAATTGTATAAGGAACTGATTCAAACTCTAAAAATTATCAAAATGTAACAGTATCAATTTAAAGAATTATTTCTAAAAATATATAGAATTTTTGATGCATAGGAAAATTTCAAAAAAAATTAGAAACTTTTTTGAAAATTTTGTAAAAATTCCATATATATTAGTATATTCAGAATTTTTACAGAATTCTTAAAAAAGTTCCTGATTCTTTTTGAAAGCATTCTTATATTTCATAAAATTCTACATATTTTTAGAAATAATTCTCTAAATAGTTACTGTTACTTTATATAATTGACCAAGTTTCTGATCAGTTCTAAAACATTTCTATTTAATTTAAAAATTTTTTAATACTTTTTTATAAAAAATTAGCTTATACAAATAGAAATAAGGCTCATAGAAAATTTTTTCTCTAGGTTACTAATCTGTATTACAAAACTAAACTAAGTAACTAAACAGGTAATAAAATAGTAATTTGCTTACTCAGCTTATCTAGTTAAGTTATGCAAAATATGTATTTATATATTTTTAAAATGCATAATAGCTAATTATATTGTATGATTAGATATCAGAGATAGTAAATAACTTGAAATAACCCAAATGACTCAAATAACAAATAACTAGTCATTAGTTATTTCAAAATTTAAATGACTTTAAAAAGTCATTTAACTAATAATCTAATGCCTTTTGGCTAATCAAAATTGATTATTAAAAAAAATTTAATTTTATAAAATATAATTAATAATCATAGCTACATATAAAAGTCTGAATTTTATTAAGTTAATCAATATTTATATATTAAGTAAAGTTATTTGAAGGAATAAATTACACATATTTTAAAGACTTCAAGTAATTCCAATAACTTTTTATTAGGTCTTCTTTACATTTTATATTTGTATAAAAAAATTTTAAATTTTTTATACAAATATAAAATGTAAAGAAGACTTAATAAAAAGTTATTAGAATTACTTAAAATTTTCAAGATATATATAATTTATTTTTTAACAACTTTACTTAATACATAAATATCAATTAACTTAGTAAAATTCTAACTTTTATATGCAGCTACTATTATCAATTATTAAAATAATAGTGTCTAATAATTTTTTATATTAGCTTCTGACTAATAAAATTACTTTATATATAAATGACCTAAATGACTTAATGACCTAAATAATCTGGTTATTATTTGATAACTTGAGGTTATTTGAATTTGGATCAAATGACCAGATCATTTACTATTCCTGTTAGATATAATACTTAACTTTCTGTAATCAGATTATATTAAAATTTTAGTAATAAAATAACTAAATATTAATATAACTATTTTTATCAATAATATAATATTCTGATCCAATATTAAAATATCTAACTACATATTTAATACTATTTACATCATAAAATTGATATGCACTTTCACTATTAAACTTTTTAAGACCAAACTGTTGTGAAGTATCTTCAATAATTTTAGCCTAGTTAATATATGCTAACATAATACTAGAATCTTTATAAGTATGAAGAAGATAAAATGCAACCCTTCCATAATATTGTTTTTTAATAGTTTTTGGATGTACTTTATTTTTTTCACTATTAGGTATTTTATTAATTTCATACTATAAAATTAAAAAAATTTAATTTAATAATAAATAATAATTTTTTAATAAAATTTAAAACTTACCATTACACAACTATTATTTCTTGAGATTAAAGAATCACGTATTAAAAAGTTACTTCTAATTTGATATCTTTCAGGAGTTAATAATCGTGCATATTTTGTAGCATATGGATTAACCTAAATTAAAATAATATATTAAAAGTATAATATATTAAACTAAATAGCAATAATAATAATTTTACCATATCTGATCTATATATTTGAAGTTTATATATACGATACCATTTTTGTAAATTATGAAATATATTTTTTTCTAATTTAATAACTTTTTTTGGCCACCAAAATTGAAAACTATCTTCTTTAAAATAAAATATTTGATCATTTTTTTTTTTTTTTTTTATCTCTTGTTGCATAAGCAACTAGAGGCGCAGGTAGCACTCTTTTATTAAGGAACTATAAATAATCTATATAATTTTAAATATTTACAGAGTGATTTCGTAGTTTTAGATTTGTTATAAGACAAATTAGACTTTAAAGATCGTATTTCTTTAGAGATACGATTTTTGATTAGGGGGCTAATAGAATTAAGTATTGTATCTGAGTCTCCCCATTTTAATGAGGTATAACGACACCAGATTTCATAAATTGTGTTGATATGTAGCCAGGATATAGCTATTAAAGTTTGAGGATGATTAGAGCTAGATGGCTCGAAGATTTCTTTTATTGTAGTAGGTGGGATTTTTCTCTCGTTAATATTCAAGAATTTATAAGCTTCTTCCCAAATAATTTTACTTCTAGGGTATTCAATAGCAAAATGTTCGATAGTCTGTAGTTCGTCAAAACACCAGAGACAATTTCCTGTCTCCGTTGGTCCTATATGTTTGAGTCGATAGCCTAATAGAAGTGCTCTGTGAAAGAGACGCCAGAAGATATCCTTTTTCTTATTGCATACTGATTTTAGAGTTAGCCAGGCAGCTTGCATAGTTTGAGAAGAAGCTTGAGATAGGATAGATAAAAAAGTTGAATTTTTAAGGAGCTCTAAAGATTTTTTAACAGAGAGTTCATCTCCTTTAAAATCTCCAGCAGAGATTTCTTCTTTATTCCAAGACTAGTTAGAGGTAGAAGAAATTCTTCTTTTTATTCTTGTCTAGGTAGTTAAATAGGGTTTCCATTCTGTAGGCTAGGCTTTAGTACATATATTATTAGCACTTAGAGCTTGTAGTAGAAAGATACTTCTTTTAGCTCTGAGAGTTGAGCTAATTTTGTTTCTTTCATAGCTTGCCCATATAGAATCTGAAGTAAGGAGCTTGATCCAAACGGAGATTAGACGAGTGTCTAACATATCCTTGATAACTGGAGCTTGAAGTCCTGCTAGTTCTGTAGAATATTGAATGGTAGAGTATCTAGGAAGCATACATGAAGTACCTTTAACTCACAGAGAGATAATTCTGTTGATATCAGTGACCTGTTTTCTGTTAGGAGGTAGAAGATAAGCAGAGTACCAAATCTTAGATAGAATGAGTGATTTAGCTATTAGGAT